TCTTTGGTTTTGTTTTTTTGGTGGTGGTGGTGGTGGGATGTCTGAGCAACCGAACGTGTTCCGGGCATCTGTTAATGAGTCTAAATTGCTTTCTGAACCTTATTGCCCAGCAAAATACCCTCTGACCCCTCTCCTTTTCTCTCTCTCTGCGGCACACATTTATTTGGAAGAGGTCAGTTAGGAGTTTGAATTTATGAGGATTATAAAATTACAAATTGTGTTAGGAGGGCACTGGGGTCAGGCAGAAAAGGAGACTGTCCATAAGTGTCGGAGAGTTTCCAGTAATGATCCTGCTTGAAAAACCCCCTGTGTATGAAAAGTGATGGCCTTAAGATGCCAAATATAGTGCAGGCCTCCAGCCTCTTTTTAAAAGCCTTTAAATGCTGCCTACAAATGTGTAGAGTTTCTAAAAAGGGCAGGGTTTTAAAGGATGAGGTCCCTTGATCAGCAAGGACAGGTTGCCTCTTTTGAGGTTGTTGGCGTTTCTTTGACAGTGGCAAAGCGTGCCCCAAAACAGGCCAGCCAAGCCTGACCAGGGGGTGAGTCAATGGCCAGGACTGGGTGTCCTGGCTCCACGCCTGGCACGGAGTAGATGCTCAGAAAATCATCGCCTTGAAACTGTGATTAGGGTAACAAAACTTGGCATAGATGAGAAAAAGCTTTCAAGGGTGGATATCATTCTGCAGGAGGTCCCTAAGACTGGAGGTTGTACATTTCCTTTGAATAAAAAGGAGGTGATTAGAGCTCCTCATTCCAGCAAGTTGTTGTTTGGGATGCATAAGGTTCATTTACATCCGTGGTTCTCAACCAGGAGTCGTTTTGCCTCTCAGCAACATTCTGGTTGTTACAGCCAGAGGGGATGTGACTGGTATCTAGTGGGCAGAGGCCAGGGATGTTGCTAAACATCTGAGAACGCCCAGAGAAGCCCCCTGCAAAGAATTTCCTAGCCCTTCATGTCAGTAGTGCCCACATGGGGAAACTTCTAATCATTCATTCAACTCTTCCACGTGCATTCATTCAACAAACAGGGCATTTAAAAGTCCTGGCCACCTGTGTAATATAATATTTAGGAATTTTCTCTCTTCTCTTTGGTTGGTGGTGTACAGTAGAATGACATGCAAGTGCTGACCCTGTGAAGGTGGCCCTGAGTCAGTCCATGTCCCAAGCTCCACCCTGACAGCATCTTCACACGCTTCGTACCAACGCTTTTTAGACCCCAAAAGCAGTAGCCCGGGGCGGGGGGGAGGGGAAGAGCAGCGTGATTTCAGCCTCATCTGGGTTTTGAAGTTACCTGAACATTTACTAAAGACCTTCTTTTTCTTATTTAAGAAATTCAAAATTGCTAACATACAGTAAATGTAATGCTGAGATCATGCTCAAATTTATATTTGTAATAACTTTTGGGAACTTGAATCTTTCCCTGAAATTGCTTTTAAAGGACTTCCAGGCAGTCTATGTAAGTTACAGTATTTTTTCTTAGCTGTCAGATATTGGATTGTATGTGTTCTGTGCCACCCAATTATGTTTATGTATCTGTCTGATTCAGATCATCAGTGAGGTACTGTCAGTGTTACCAAGTATGACCTGTTGACAAACCCAAAGCACTTAAGAAAAAAATTGTTCGACGATGTGACTTCCTGGTGTTGTCTTTTTTTACTGAGGGTGAATTAGTAACAGCTAACGATTGATACCTTTGCTGCCTTCCAGGTCTAGAGAATGCCATAGTCACCTCCATGTTTCCTAGACTTGGGGTTCCTCAGACCTTTTAAAAGCCAGCGGCTCTCTGTTCATTTCCATTTTGCCTTTGTGACCCCTTCCTAACGGCCTGCCTTTACCAGTGCCCCTGAGCAGCATGGGTAATCTGCATAGTGGACCCCATGCTCATCAGATTTTCTTGTCATAGTTTTCCATGTCATAGTTACCCATAATTCCTCTTTGCCTTTGTAGATTGATTTATGGCATTGTAGCCTAAAGGCATTTTCTGAAGATTAGTAGTTTTTTCCTGTTGTGAAAAATATTAACACAAATTACCTTAGGAAGATACAGAAAAACCTCAATGAAAAAAGAAAATAAACATCTCCCATGATCCTACAGTTAACATCTTGATGTATATTTTTGCAGTCTTTTTAAATGCATATGTGTGTTTACATACACGAAGGAACATGCGCACACATAAAAATTTTTATTTGGAATCACACTGTACTTTCTGTTTTGTAACCTATTTTCACTTAACATATCATGTAACACGTTTTAATAAGGAGTACCGAGGCCCAAATTACCACACATAGAGCTTGTATTTATTGATCTCATAAACGTGTTGACTCAGCGAGGGATTGACATAATTTCTACACAGACTTGCTTGGTATTTTTGTCCTCCGTGGTTCAAGTAATGTTCCAAGAATGCTGCCTCTCAAGACTGAGTTCCTATGTGCTGTGAAATTTGGGATTTTGACGAGTTTCTCTATGATTTAAGAATGAGTCATGATTTGCAGGAGAATATCAAGATGTAGTAACAGGAAATTCAGGGTACTACACATCAAAATAGAATGTTAAATGATGAAAGAAGAGAAACCAGGTTAAACCAAAAATACACCTGGACATTGTCATACTACCAAGGGAGAGGAAGGTGTATTTTGTGCTCTTAGCTCTTCTTTATTACTGTTTCATTTTATATCAGTAGAGTCTCCAAATTTTGAAATTGGTGTTTTAAATTGATTTCTAGCTCAAGATTGCTATTGCCTGTGGCCACTCTGAATTGAGGTCAGTTAGCTTTTTGATTGAGACCAAGAAAGCTCTGGTTTTGACACTTATAATGCACCCTAGTAAATTGAATTATCTGTATGTGTGTCTGTGCTTTGCCTTCCTTTAACAAATTCTGAAGGCCTTTAAAAATAGTAGGTTATTCAGTCTTTTAAGAAACTATTCTTTGCAGAAATTTGACTTTCCGGGATGGTTACCTTCAACCTAAAGAAAAAGTCTTTCATTTATTACTGGAAATTTACATACAGATCAGCAATTTTCAAATAAAGTTTGAACTGGTCATTTTGATAAACTGTGATTTGGTTTGACTTGGCCACAGGAATGAGGGTTATGACTACTTTATTGATACATTGATTTAAATTTCTTGGAAAGTAGTTACGAAATTATTCTAAGAGTTAAATAGAATTATTTTATAACTTGCTTGAGAGATTTACTTGTATGTTTTTAAAGAAATTAAGATGATAGTTCTACTAGTATATTCTAATTTGAATTGGACTAAGATGAATTTACTCACGTAATCTAAAAATAGGATCAAAGGCTCATTGTATCATAAATATTTTTAAAGCTATTGTATCCAGGAACAGTGCTCAATTATATGGGTATGATGGGATAGTTATAAAACAACATATCTATATATTTTAAGATGGATGCT